TTTAGCAAGATGTTTTAACAGTCTCCTCTTAAATGTGGGGTACCTCAAAGCTCTGTTTTAGGCCCATATTCTTCAAAGAAAAAAACCTTAGTGGTGGCTAGTAATCTGTGAAACAGTTGAAAATTGATACACTGTTCAAACCATTTATCATTTTAAAACTGATCATGATTGTTTTTACATGTGCTCTAAATCAATCAAGAGTAAGATTAGTCAATAATGGGCACAGCAGGAAGCGCGTCAAGAGCCCCATCTCCCCCTCCTCTGCCAGTCTCTGTTTAATGTCAGGTGAAATAAAGAAAGTCACGCTCTCCAGATAATTCATTCATGATAAATTCACCAGATAATTTAGAGACATTCAGATTTGGTGAGTTTTACCACACAGGAGCTGCGAGCTGACGAGGCTCGCTTTCAGAGCCATTTTTGTCCCGAGCTCAGTTTGATGAGCCACTGACCCACATTGGTGCTGATATCTCCTGCCAGGACACCGACTACAGGCACTCGATTTTAGCTAAGCGCTCCTGTCCATGTTCCACAGGTTAGTGGACATCATTCAGGAAACTGTCTCATCAGAAAATGTGTCACTACGTCACACAGTGGAGTCTCTCTGGTTGGTTGACCGCTCCGCATCAAGCTGCAAAATTTCAGATTTTCTAACTCAAGTGTTCGACGTGCTTGACGRGAAACATGCAAAATGCGTATAAAATATTTAGTGTTTATGTAGATGCAGTATAGTCCTGTTAGCTCAACTTAAAGTTGACAAAACCTAATTTAGCAGAAGCTAATTGATCAGCTAACAGAATTCAAAGTTAGTGTAAAAGCTAATCTGCTAAATGGACAAGTTAGTTCCTCTAATAGCTGTTAGCTGATCACTGGAACCATGCCCAACACTGAGATTAGTTTATGCTAAAAGCCAAGAAAAGAAAAAAATTCAGCTTTCACATTTTTATACGCATTTCATGTATTTGTGTGATTTAAATTAAACACTTGCTTGCAAAGATACACAACTATGCATTGTTTTGGCAGTAGCAAGACAAATGAATTTGTGTAAAGTGTGTTTTCATCAGACAAGCTGCTATAGAAAAGTCTTAAGTTAATGTCAGATAAGAAATTGCATTTTCTTTTAGTCCGTGCTCATTCCTGCTGAGATTTAAACAATTAGGCAGGTGTTTAACAAAGACCGTATTTTTTATTTATGGGATTTTTTTTATAAAAAATTAAATAAAAGCTGCAGAATCACAGATTTTACCTATTTTTTCACAGAGGTGTGTGTGTGTATGAAAACTGAAACAAACATGTTTTAATTTCTCATTGTTTCTCATTGTATTCCTACTTTCAGGGGCTTCTTGTTGCAGTTCTCTACTGCTTCCTCAATCAAGAGGTGAGTGCAAACCTCACTGTTCTCAAGCATGGTCCATAACATATTCAACACTACCCACAGATCATTTACAGGTCTCTGCTGTGTAACAAACCTGCTCAGAAGGATCACGGGTCAGTGAGGTGTTAAATTGTCAGGGTTTAAAGTACAGAAACAATCTCCCCGTTCTTCTTCCCTCATCGCATAAAGAAAGAACCCAGAGCACTTATATAATCAAGATTAATGCAGGACCAAGCTGACATCAGTCCGTCTCAGCTTAAGCCTTCCTATGCAAAGCACACAGATCAGTGTGTAGACATGCCGTCATTATATATTTTCAGGCAAACGTTCAGATGTTTTTTTAATATCCATGGTTTGAGGAAAAAAATTCTGACTGAAGTGATGAGCTAACAGAAAATCAGAACAAAACTTATCAGAGAAACATAATATAAAAGAGCTGAACTACCTTTTTTAAGTTCGTATATGTTCACATGGATTACTGTCTTGTAGAAAATACTGAGTTATAATGATTTTATTTTGTATGTTTTAGATTGTATAAATATATATTTTTTGTTTGTGTCAGAAATTTTCTTATAATCCAAAGGGGGGTCCGGCAGAAACAGTCTGGGAACCACTGCACTAAACCGAGTTGAGTAAATGTAAAGCAGTCTACTCAACCCAGTTTACTGGAACCAGTTGACATAAACTTGGTTATGGCCCTGTCACACTATAATGTTTTAGACAACTTGTAAACATTTTGTTTGACTTTGAAGAGGTCTATGCTAAAGATGGAATAAAAAAATCAGCTGGAAGCCTCTTATGGATGTATACATACTGCAATGCTAATGATTAGATCAAATTTATAACCTATGTTATTTAGTCATAAAATAATTCACAAGTTGTCTAAAAAATTATAGTGTGACAGAACCTTTAAGCAAATGAAACATTTTATTTTTAGAGTGCATAAACAACTCCTTTCATGATGTGTTCTGGGTCATATTTAAACTTGTAATGTGTAACTAGGTGTTACATTTTAAAGTAAAGAGTAAAAGTATCAGTTTTGTTTTGAATGTAACAAAATTAAAGTAAAAGTTACGATAAAAAAAATCATGGTTTAGTTACAGATCCTCAAAAAATGGCATACAGTATACTGTAACAAAGTAAATAAACATCTGGTTATAACTAATAGCTTTTAAAGTAACTGTTTTATTTTTATTTTTCTGCTTGACTTTTGTCTTTTACTGTGAAACGTGGATATAAGTTGAGGAAAAATGATCATGTTTAGAGATGCTGGTTGATGAATTCTGTTTTTTTTTAACGCTCATGTTTTTTTCTTCTTTGTGTGTTTGTGTCCGCTCGACAGGTGCAGAAAGAGGTCCAGATGCAGTGGCTGAGGTGGCAGGAGAGGAGTTACGGGGTAGTTTCACCCGCTGCAAAGGGTAGCCAGATGGACACACCTTTCTGACTTCTTTCTTCCGAACCATCTTACCTGTTCACTCACTCAGGATTGCTCCTGTGCACTTCGTCCGTACCTAATGAGCTGCGCAGCGTACCCACTGTAAGCTCTTGTTCAGGGGTGTCAAACTCCAGTCCTCGAGGGCCGCTATCCTGCATGTTTTAGAGGTTTTCC